AATCCAAAATGAGCCCAAACGTCGGCTTTTAATGTTGGCGGTGCAGACTTGAATCAGGCTTGAACGGAGTGCAGCTGCTGTCCGTCATCGCGCTGATTTGCTAAGGGCTAAAGCGGCGCGCGACTTCTACAACGATGAACGCTCTCACTAGAGTGTAGCCCACAGCGCCGCCACTGGCCTGGATGGCTGAATCGATTCATAGGATTTGATGAAAAAAATTGCAATGCATTGATGAATCGATATTTTTACCCAGCCCTATCGGATAGTTTTTGACGCGGCGCGTCAAACTTAAAAAACGAACCCGAGGCAGTTTTTTTTAAAACACGTGGCGTTTTACGCGTCGGTGTGCACACTCACATTGGCACCCTTTGTTCAGTCACGAGGCGTTAAACGTCGGCGAATATCGCCCGCGAAATTCGTCCCGGTGTGAACAGGCCGTAACATGGAATGTCATGGAATTTCGCCAAATGAATAAATTGGATTGCATAAATCAAAAGTTGCTTATTTAGATAGCAGTCTTTTGAGGTTTGAAGTGTAAAGTCTGCATGATCTGCGTGTCATCTAGAAAAATGGAAACATAAAACACAGATTTCAGAGGGCCCTAGGTGGACCGTGATCTTCTGAAAAGAGGATTTGATGCCCAATTGAGGCATCACATTTCCTGTAACAGGCTGCTGTTGCTCAATCTGTGGCCAAAATACTGGGGTCTTAAACCTGAAGGTCTTTTCACAGGAACCATTGACATCAGAGGAGATATTAGAAGATCAGAGTTTGCAGATTTTTGAGCACAGTTAGCGGTTGACAGGAGTCATGATGCTGTCAAAGAGCGTTAAAATGACTCCCGAAAATTCATCGGGCACAATGAAACCGGAAGCACACACACGTGGCTGTTTTGTTTAGCCTGAGGAGACAGAGGTCAGAGCGGTTCATTACAGCGCTGTAAAAGACTTTATTGTGTGTTTGTGTCAGACCGTCAACTCGCTGCTGCTGGGAAATAACCCTTGTTTATGAAATGTCACACATACATGTCAATCACCTCCACTGTGTGCATTAATATCAACGTCAGTTTAATGGATGGTTTGAGACGCTAACTAACCTAACTAAAGTCAACCAGTAGCAAGATAGTAGGTCAGCTGTTCTCAAAAATAGTACCTTTTAAAAAATAGGTTGCAGTGTAGCGTGGCAAATTGGTACATTGGTTTCCAAACTCTATCATGGAGTTCCCCCTTACCCGTCTTCGGGTCATGAATACGACCTTCGACCAGATGGAACTGGATAATACTGTGGATTTTCCAAACCAATCTGACTTTTGATCTGTAATGCTGTCTGAATCATAATAGCACACTGTTCGTTCGTTGGATATGAACTAAATTAAGAACTGTTTTACAACAAAAATGAATCATCACTGAACTGAGCTGGGCTATGATGCTATTTTCTTCTGTATCCGCTGTAAAGCCGAAACAATGTTGCTTTATTTTCCTGTTATCGCTGTCAAGCTCCTTTGAAACTCATTATAGTAAAAAAAGCGCTATATAAATAAAAGTGACTTGACTTGGAGTACTGACCCAGACAGCAAACTGACATTGAATCAACGTGGAAACGACGTCTCTCATGACATTGAAACAACGTTGATTTTGCTCATCGAATTAACGTTGAACCAACGTCAGACGCGGCATTCTTCAAAGCTAAATGAAAATCGAAAATTGGTTTGCTTTCATAACGTTGAAACAACGCGTTGATTTCAAGTTGATTTTCCGCTAGTTTTGAAAGAATGACGCGTCTGACGTTGGTTCAACGTTAATTCGATGAGCAAAACAATGTCAGATCAACGTTGTTTCAATGTCATATTTCCACGTTGATTCAATGTCAGTTTGCTATCTGGGGAGAAGGGAATCACTTTGTTTAAATGGTTCGTTTGCATTCACTACCGTTTCCAAAAATGATTCGCAGATAATTTGGCATTCTTTTTGATTGGAGTTTCATTTGAAAGCAGCAATTGCTAAAAAGAACAGATCATCGTATGATAAAACTATGATTTTCCACCACGATTACCCAGTTTGGCCTGCTTTGGTTTGGGGGTGGGTCTGTTCTTTCGGTGACCTTTGAAACAATCATCGGTGTCTTAAGGTGAACGGGGCAGCAGTGGAAGTGTCCAGATGCAGGTTGTGAGGTTTCTTGTCAATAACATTGATCCTTACCTACAATAGAGTTCACCACATGCATTGTGAGCGAATGAATGAATAACATATGAATAATCTCCCTATTCACACCACAGTGCAGGGATTTTAAATGGCTTTTGCTTCACCTGCTCATTCACCACTCATTCTCAGAAGATTTACTGTCGCAAATAAGGAAAGAGTGTTTTGGTGGATGCTTAACTTTAGATCATTTTGTCCAGCGATAATGACAATCACAAAACTGTTGATGGGTAATAATGAGCCATTTTAAGAGCAAATAACTTTTCTTTTAGTTCTGACAGGCAAATCTAAAGCAGTCAGAGCAATGCAAACATAAACCCGCAGAGGCAATGCGATACTTCAGAGTCATAAATTGAAGCCGCATTATGAAAATATGCATCTGTCTGTCAGGGTTTATTGGCTGTAGATGCTCACATGTGAAGAACATATTGAAAACACTCCTTTACTGATAGATGGGCTTCTGAATATGAAAAGCTGAGTATGAAAGACCTGTCTCTCTCTTTCTCTTGCTCCCCCCCCCTCACGGTCTTCATAAAACCATAAAAGCTGTTCAGAAATGAGAACAGGCCGCTGGAATGGAATATAAAATATTCAAAGCGCTTATAGTGTGAACTGTGCTGATCGGAGCAGGGAAAGAGGTTTTCTGTGTGTGGAATTATTAGACACACTTTTACATGCACCATCGGACTCTTGAACTCCAGTGCCAAAGTGGATTTTCTCTTTCAGATTTCCAGTCTGAATATTTAACCTTCCGGAGCTCTTTGAAAATGTTGTTTTTTTTTTTTTTTTTTTTTACTTCATTGGAATGGTACGAAACTTGTTAAAGGTTTTCTTGCCACTTGCTTAAAAAACATCATGGACATGATTCGAAAAAGTTACATGGTCCTGTAAAAAATAGTCGCACTCTGCTTCAAAAAGAGCGCATCGGAAATGAAAGGGACACGAATTTGATCTAGTGAAAACGTTGAGTCTGTGCTCCTAAAGAATTTACACTGTAAAAAATGATTTTTTGGTTAAGTAAATACTAGTGAAAAAACCCAATTTAATTTACTTGAAAAAGTTAGTTCAGGCAAGAATTAAAAAAACTAAGTAAATTCCATATCAGTACTTATTTCAAGCGATTATAAATGAAAGTGTAATATCAACTCAATAAAATTAAGTAAAAATGACTCAACTTTTCTGATACTGGGGTTCCCATCATGCACTGGACCTTAAATAATTAATGAGGTTCATTTTTCACTGGTTTCCAGCTGTATTTACACTGTTTTATCATTGATTTTTGTTTTCAGTATTAGTAAATTGCCATTTTGTGACATTTCGAGTAAATATTTTGCTTAAAACGACACATTCAAACCCAAAAACGATCCATCAAATGTTACCACCATTGTGTATTGAGGTGTTTGCATTCACATAAGGCTTAAAGTCTGACATGATGTATATATAAATTACTTAGATGAACTAAGTAAAGAACATACTATAAATGACTAATAAAATTCAAGATAATTGTTTTAGTGAAGTGTAGTACAAAGGCAAAGGAAATCGGTATTAATCAACCATTTACAAGCCGAGTTAAAATTACTTATTTTTTGTAAAGTTTACTTAATTCCACATTCCAAGTAAATTTAACTTAAAGATTTCTAATTAAAACTACTGATAAATATGTTTAGGTTTTTACTTGGCAAATCTTTGTAAATTTACTAGCATTTTCTGAGTGAGATCGTTTAGCAAGGTTTTTTCAAGTAAATCCTACTCCACATTTTTTACAGTGAAGATTTATGACAAATTTTCAGGTCTATGCTCAGAAAGTAAATAAATGGATTATAAATACTACATAAATATAATTTATTATAAAAAAAATCCCCTAAAAATACTAAATTTTAAATAAAAACTATTATTAAACGAAAAGATTTGTTCATTTAATTGACACACACACAAAAAAGACAGAAAAAAACAGAAAAGAAAAAAGAATAGGTCATTTCTGATTTTGAATTTATGCTTTAAACTATAAACTCCCAAGAAATCCTGAAAACCCCTTAAAACATAGAAATATATTTTATTGAGAAGAAAAGCTGCATGAAATTGACTTGTCAAGATATAACTTAAAGATATATTGAATGCAACACAGATACAATATATGAAGCAATTAAACCAATTATTTATGTTTATGCATAAAAATACCCCAAAACTACAAAACAGATCCTTTTTAAATGAGTCTTAATATCTTACACTATTCAATTTAAATGTCATTTTAGTTTGATCTAGGGATGCCTAGATATTTTTTTATTGGAAAAGAACAAAAAATGCTAATTAATATTTATTATTATTATTATGTTTGCAGTGTACACGAGTCTACACCCCACACACATGAAAGTGAACGCTGCTCTACTTTCTGCTTTTAAACACAGGACGTTTGATCATGTCCTGTATTATTTCCCACGGTAAATGAGAGGAAATGGAAGAAGACTTTGAACAGCCAATAAACACGCAGACATTAAAGTGCACTAAAAAGTCCCTGAACTTGAGCTGATGCAAGAGCACGGACAAGTATCAAAGCAGCCCTCGCGCTCTCTTTATCATGTACGAGCTTTCTGCGTGCTGGAAATTGGGGAAATACTTTTGATTATTCATGATAATTAGCATGCGTGTACACAACTGACATGAACTGCGCTGGTTCAAAAGGAAAACTCCGGAGACAAATGCCCTGTAAGATCTACCGTTAAGGTTTTAATCCAGCGCAGAGGCCTGAAGGTTATCGGTGGATTGAGGGTTAATGACCTGCTGTTTGTGTGTTTTGTGTGACAGAAGCTCGCTGTCAGAAGTTGTCCTGTGGGGATGGCCGCTAAACCCCTCGCCCTCATCAAGCCGCCCAGCCAGAGCATCGCCATCTCCATGGTGCCAGCAAAGACTCCCGTTTCCATGGTGACAGCACACATTAACGGACAAAAAGCGTTGAGTTCTGAGACGCTCCCTACGTCCCCCGTCAACCTCCAAACACCCGCCGTACACATCAACCGCTCACAGGTACAGTAACACAAGTACACTCAACACTACTAAAACATCAGCCACTCACAGGTACATATGTTTGTCTGTATTGATCATAGAGTGGTACCCCAGACAGCAAACTGACATTGAATCAACGTGGAAACGACGTCTCTCATGACATTGAAACAACGTTGATTTGCTCATCGAATTAACGTTGAACCAACGTCAGGCGCGGCATTCTTCAAAGCTAAATGAAATCGAAAATTGGTTTGCTTTCATAACGTTGAAACAACGCGTTGATTTCAAGTTGATTTTCCGTTAGTTTTGAAAGAATGACGCATCTGACGTTGGTACAACGTTAATTCGATGAGCAAAACAATGTCATATCAACGTTGTTTCGATGTCATATTTCCACGTTGATTCAATGTCAGTTTGCTATCTGGGACTGGTATGACATCCCTTTGTAGGCCATGCCGAAGTCAATGGTTTTTAGAACAGGTTTTTGGTTAAATGGCTGAAATAATGTCTGTGATGAACACAAGCTCAAGACACTTTCACATTTCATTCTACAACATCAAATACATCAGTATCTCGTGATTTTTCCGAAGCTTTAACATGTTTTGAAAAAGGCGGTTGCTTATCCACAAGTTTCCGAGGGGCGCTCCTGTAAAAAATTGAGTTGGTGAAACTTCCGGTGAGGCGGCGGAAGTAGCATTCCAATGGTATTTTGTGTGTTAGTTAGCGAAGAGGCTAGCTGTTTTTCGGAGAATTATTTTACTATTTAAAGACGCAAATCTTTATGAGAGATGTCGTTACGGAGCTCAGGGACAACACGTGCTGTTCGCGGTTGTATGTATAACCGGACTAAACTAATTCAGTGGCTTAAACGTGATTGTTTTGAGCATAAGCTGAAAACGAAATCAGAGTGATCCTGCCAACGACTGTAGTTTCCATCACCTCCCAAAAGACGACGAATCTTCCTGTGTACATTTGTTTAAATTCTTAATATTCTATAAACTCTCTCAGCATGTGATTGGCTGTTTGCTACTGATGTTACACCTAAACTCAAGATCAAAGCCTGTGTTGACAGAATACCAAATGTATTCAAGTAGCACATTCATTTATAATTTTGAATAAATTCCAAAGCACAATGACTAAGTGTGTATTTTTTATTTTAATTGTTTGTCAGCTCGCACAACTGTCTGTCACCATGCCTTGATGAGTATTGATTATTAATAATGTTATTATAATACTCCCAATCAACTACTGCGGAGGGTAAAGGTACGGTTATTTCACCCTTTTTAATTTCGTTGAGGTTGTGTTCCCACATCGTTAGCTAGTTTGGATCGCTATAACTTGAATGACTGTCAACTGTTGAATGAACGAGTGTCAAGCATGTCAAGTCTCGCTTTGTTTACTTCCAACCGGAAGTCGCGCCCACTTTTGACGCAAGGCCTCATGGGGCGTAGGAAACTTGTGGATAAGAGGTTATTAAATGGGACTACAGAGGCTGTTGAGGAGATTAAATCTCACTGAACAGTTAAACTCAGTCACTTTTACGTACTCATTATGCGTATGTGCTCTTCTAAGCCATTCTAGCTCCAAAAAATGTTTTTAGATAATAACTCAGAGTTGTCAGGAGCTTAGTGATGGTGACGTTGAATTCGTGGGAACCGTGGTGTAGTTCATGTATAGTCTACATTTAGCTTTTTTCTTTCAGTGACTGCATTTAGGCTTCAAATTTCATAAAAGTTGTATTTATCTGTAATAATTATCTTGATGGACAAAACGTGCAGGTATAAACTTTTGTTGATCACAGAGCTTGTTTTTAGTGATAATCCAAAAGCCTATTGGGTTTTTGTCGAGGTAACCAGTGATGCCTACAAAGTGACATCATGCAGTACCTGTGCCACTCTATTCAGGCAAAAAAACAACAACAAAATAATGTTTAGTAACAATTTTAGGACTGCATTATGGTATATTGATCTTCTCTAGCTCACAGTACTGTCTTGCCTTTTGCCTCTTGCTCGGCCAACAAAACATTGAAAGTATGTTTGTACACAAATCAAAAAAAAAAATCATTACGATCATACAATACTCGACTCGACTGCACAAGGTACAACAGGATTGCGACTCCGTACTTTTGCTGCCCACACTACTATTGTACCTATGTGTTGATTGTTGTAGCATCGCTCATCCAACAACTCACTGAAACTAAACTCCACAAACTATCGAAACCGTATTCTCATTGTATTGTATTCCAACATATTGTACAGTCCATAGTTTGTTGTTTACATCAATTGAAAAATACTTTCTACTCTGGTTGGAGTGTGTCCAAAAGGCAGGTCTTCATAAATAACAACAAAGACCTTCCCAACAGAAAAGACTCTTTATTCGCATGAGTAGTCGCCCCCCTCCACCGCTTCTTTCACTTGTCCTCCCCCTTCTCTCTCCCTTCCCCCTCCTTGAGACTGGAACGCTGGATTGTTTTACTGCCTTTTATGGCTGTATTGTTTGGTAGAGTGAAGCTGTTTTCAGCTCTCCCAGCTGCCCACTGATTCAAAACCCTAAAACACCCATCGCACTAGAGGAGAACCAATCACTGGCTGGAGAGATCTCAGACCACCTGGCCAGTCATTTGGAACTGGATAATAAGTGGATTGTGGTCCGGTGTGGATGCACATATTAAAAGCTTCATTTCAGCACATATGTATGAAGCAACTTCACAAGCTACACTAAACCGACAACGATACAACTGCAAATGATTGTAGTTTGTATGGTTGTATGACAAGAATTTAGCCAAAACTATGTCAAAGTTTGAATGATTGGACTTGTACATCGCCAGCATGTTTTTTCATGAATTAAAAATCACTTTTTGATCATAACTGTTGAGAATCATAACTGTTGAAAAGTACAAGAAAAATTACAATTATATTGTAAATTGCAATGCAGGGATATAAATGCAGGGAATTGCTGTAAAACTTTGAGCGCTTTGAACAAATATTGAGTTTAAATGTTAGAATGTTCAGATAATATTGCTTGTCAATAATAAAAAGTATTTAATGGTAAAAACATATTGTATGTAAGCAAATATGCTTGAAATTTAGATCTAGCGAATGATGCGTAGTTTGACATGAAGAAAAAATATCTCTTTAAATTTTGGCTTTCAAACTATTTGTAATGTATCAGAGTTTGAGAGTTATAACTTTTGAAGATTAAAGATTTGAAACAAATTAGTAGGGATTTAGGGTATTTGACAGTCAAATTCGTTTGTAAAACAACGTGTAATATTAATGTGTACTATTAAAATAGACATCAAATTATGCATGTATTTTCATGTGTCCAAATGAGATGAAAAAAATGTAAAAGATTCCTCTTGGACACGACATACATTTCAACACAGGAAACACAAAAGAGGAATATTAGGCACCAGATTGAGCTCCGAGATTGGGTTCATTATTCACAGAGTCCATAAAAATGCTGACCAGCTGCTTATCTTTCAGAAAGGCCGCTTTTCTGTGTGTTTATTTAAGTCCTCCCTCTGCATTTTTTTAAAGCATCTTTCCCAGTCATGTCAATGCATAACAAAAGAGTCTTATTTTAAGTTCTTTATGTTGGCTTCCAGAAATCAGTTGAATAGATTTAATCACCATTGTTGAGACAAACAATTTTGTGACTGAAAAATGGCAAAAAAAATCGCTTTGTTTATTTGTGTGCATGTATATTAGAGGCTTTTGAAGTCTGTCAGAGTAAGTGCTTGGATTGTTCAGGCAGCAGAGCATATGCATATGACCCTACCACAGACTGACGGAGTAAATGAATTCTAGCCGTAAGTGTCTATGATGAAAGAGGAGTACTGGCCCCCGACTGAGCCTGGGTTCTCCCAAGGTTTTTTTTCTCCATTCTGTCACCGGATGGAGTTTGGGTTCCTTGCCTTTGGCTTTTGGCTTGCTTAGTTGGGGACACTTAATATTCAACGATATTATTGATATTCTTGCATTGGCACCGTTATATGAGAACTGAACTGAGCTGGATGATGACATCACGGTTTTCTAAATTAAACTAAATTTAAACTTTTTTTACAACAAAAATTAACCATCACTGAACTTACTTAAGCTGGACTGTGACGCTATTCTTTTGGAAACAAACTTTGTTGCAGTATTTTCCTATTGTCTCTGTAAAGCTGCTTTGAAACAATCTGTATTGAATCACACCCGTTATAATCAGCGACTCGGTCTACACTAAAAAACGCATCGCTTTGACACACCTTAGGTTGACGGATGCCCTGTTTTTAGAATGTTTTCTTTGTATCTATATGGTTTTAAAAATAATTTTAAACATAGCTTTTGTTGAGTCAAACCACATGACAATTTACAACCTGAACTAACCTTGCTTTGTCATAAAGTCAAAATGATCTAACCTTGACACAGTCGAGGATTGTAGACGTACGAGTTATGCGATTGAAAGAATAAAAAGGAGAGTTTAGTTAACATCAGCTTTCTGTGTTTGTCTTATTGCAATTTTCCATGTTTGTGGAGTAAACACACAGTTTACACAGCTTTTTAAAAATGGTGGGTGCCTGTGCTTTGTATAGAACCCCCCATAAGGTACATCCAACATCCCCTATCCTACAATTAACCCTATTACTAAAATCATATAAAATATAAAGTTAGTTATAGGAACTAACTTTGCTTTGTCATAAAGTCAAAATGATAGGAATTTCATTCATACTATATAGAACATATTTTTTAACGGTTGTGAAGTTTCAAACTAACTGTAGTACCTTCTTAGACTTGAGGAGATCCCCCCTTCCATATGTAAAGCGCTTTGAGTACCAAGAGAAGCACTATATTAATGTAACGAATTAAACAAATTATGAACTGTGGTGCGAAAGGCCTGTAGCTGAACTGCGGGTCAGTCATGGCCATGGTTTGTGTTTATTAAAGGGATAGTTCACTTTGAAATTAATTTTTGATATGTTTTAGCTTACCTCAAGGGCATCCAAGATGTAGGTGTCTTTGTTTCCACAGTATTTTCAA